GGGAGAGGGAAGGGGGAGGGGGGAGCGGGGATCGGGGATGGGGGGGGCTGGCCAGGGGAGATTGAGAGGAGGAGGATGGGAGAACCAGTCACCGGAAGCAGGGCTGGATGGGGGCAGCAGGGCTGGATGGGGGAGACTGGGAGGAAAAGGGGTTGGTAGGAGCGGAACTGACCTGGGCACGTGCAGACCCTGGCAGACGAGTGAGTCTAGCCGCAGATTCCATTTCCCCCCCACCCCACATGCCCTCCCTGGAGTAGTTGCAAACTGCCTGGCAGGTAGACACACTCAGACAGTGTGAGCACATCTACCAGCCAGGCAGCTAAGGACTAATACACCTAATTAGACAATACCAGGCATTTTATATGTCTGGTAATTTCTCAATTTCTTTCCCAGACAAAACCTTCAAATACTGGACTGGCCTGTCCAAAACCGGACACCTGACAACCCTACCCTTCATTGCACCCTCCCTCTTAGCCAGCTACCCTACCCCCCAATCTGCTCCTATTCCCGCCTCCTGAAGTGCTCATATGGCACCGGGTCCCCCAAGCCCTGGCCCAAGCTGGATGGAGGGATGCAGCCAGGTAAAACTGAAAATTTATTCATTTTTTTCATATGCATTTATGGTTTTGGGCTGCAAAAGACAGTACTAGAAAAAAAACGAGTTCCAACTAAAGTAAAAAGTTTGGAAAACCCTGATCTAGCCAGCTTTCTATCCATCTTATAGGCATTTATCCAATCCATATTCCCTTAACTTGCTGGCAAGAATATTGTGGGTCACTGTATCGAAAGCTTTGCTAACGCTGGCACTGGGGGGGCTTTGGGAGGACCAGAAACAACTTATTTGAATATTCATCATTTGCTTATTGAATATGCAAATGAATGTTACAGGTCCCCATGTCAAAAAGTTTGGGAACCCCTGTTCTAGACTGCAACATTCTTTTGGCTTACGCATCTTTTTAAAAAAATGGTATAAGACATAGTAAGTTAGTTAATAGGTTGGGCACCTTCCGTACGTCTCAACTCTAATGATCAAGGCTGCAACTTATAAAATGCTCTCAAAGTTTATATGCACAAATATGGCAATTCTTCCTAATTTCTATGCACGGCCCTTTGAAACCAGACACTGAATAAGCACTGTGCCAAGTGATATATTGCTGAAAGATCAGGCCCACTATGAGTAAACTATCATGAGGAACAATCTTTTGAAAGTCATAATGTACTTTTGTTTCTGGATATGATCAGCCCCCAATTCACATCAATTGCCAATAATAGGTAAAGTATTATTAATTAAATGATTTTTATATGTAATCAACAGCAGGGGCAATATGAAAGGGGGCAGCTTAAGCCACTTCATTTACTGTGCTTTCAAATCACTCATGCACACATTCTATTCCGAGGCTATGTCTAGACTGCAGGCTTTCGGAAGAAGCTTTTCCAGAAGAGTTCTTCCAAAAAAACTACCTCTGAAAGAGAGTGTCCACACTGAGAAAGTGCTTCGAAAAAGCCATCTGCTCTTTCAAAAGATAGCGTCCATACTGAATGGACGCTATCTCGCATTTAAGCTGTGATTACTATGGATGGGAGTGGTCACCAGGGCACCTGTGCTTTTTTCCCTCTTCTTTCAAAAACTCCCACTTCCTCTCCACACATGCCTTTTTTGGAAAGCGCTCTTTCGGGAAAAGGCTTCTTCCTCGTAGAAAGAGGTTTACCAATGTCAGGAAAACCCCTCTGTTCTTTTGATTTTGATTTTTTTTTTTTTTAAAACATGATTGTAGTGTGGACCTAAGTGAAGTTTTTCCAAAAAAAATCAGTAGTGTAGACTTAGCCCAATTGTGAAATAAGCTAGTATTTGAATGTTGAAATAAATATTGCCCTATCAGACTGTAGATAGATGTTTTGGGTTTTTTTTAAACTCCTCATACAATAAGTACTTCAAACCATAGTAAAACAGGATTGTAATTTTATTTGGAAAAATGCATTTTAAAAAAACCTTCTGCCTTTGATATTTGCTGCAAGAAGCTTCTGTACTAAGATTGCTTCTTATTTTGATTGTCTTTCCAAATGCGGTAATTTAGCACAGAAGCCAAAGTTAACCAAGCTAAATAAGGGAACATCAAATATGCTGCTTTCTTGTTGACATGGTACCAGGTGACAGTTGTAGCTGTTGCTGCACCACTAGTGAGTAGGAGATCAACCAATGCCTGAAATAAAATAAGGTGGTTAGTGTGGTTCTACGTGCTGCATTTTTTGTTCAAGACAGTACTTAGGTATTTGCGCAAATTCAGACGAATCTCTTTGTAGAGAGTTCTGAAACATACAATGTCGAGTATGTGGTTAAAAACTTCAAGCATATCATTAAGAGGCATTCTGAGACATTTTCATACAAAGACAAGTTGAACCTCTCTAAACTGGGACTCTCTGGTCTGACGACATCCGTGGTCCAGCAGGATCACGGATGTTCCAGAACCAGAAAGTCTTGGTGGAAGGCTGGGAGCTCAGCCGGCAGCGGCACTGCCAGAGAGCTGGGTCAATGATCAGGCCAGAAATAGGGGGCCAGAAATGACCTCCCCTGGTCCAGCAAAATCCTTCATCCAGGATTGGTTAGGACCCCAGGGTGCTGGAGCAGGGAGGATAGAATATATGTACAAAGCTAGAATTAATGCAACATTAAGTCTGAAATTTCATATATTAAATTCATAGCATTCCTATTAATCAATTCTAAATTAAATAATGCACAAAATTCCAAAAGGTAAGTTTTTGTTTTAATGTCTTAACTGTTCAGGTGGTGTTAGGGTGGTCAGCTACAATTTAAGAGACTGCTTCAAATTCTTGCTGTTCCACAGATTTCTTCTGTGACCTGAGACAAGTTAATGTCTCCATTCCCCATCCATAAAATAGGGATAATGGTACTTCCTGACCTTATGGGGGGGCTATGCAGATAAATACATTAAAGACTGAAAGGTGCTACCTTACTATGGTAATGAGGTCTAATAAATATCTAAGCTAGAGCTGTGTTGTAAGAACCAGCCACGTAGTCACAGGGTGGTTGTTTTGTTATTTTAGGTCACAAACCAGCCTTTCTCCCCCACACAGCAAAAAATCATTAGTATTGTTTAAAATTGACACACTATTACATGAGTCATCTCATGGTAAATCCCTTTTCACAAGTTTTTGTCTACAGGATCCCTAAACATTTTACCTTGACATAATTGTCGCATAAATTATAACTTCTGTTACCATCAAAGAGTGGAAGAAACACTCAATTGAGAGCTTAGTCTAATGACACTATAGATACATTTGTGCATAATCTTGCATGAGAGCATAAATAAGGGAGTTTTAAAAATCTGCTACTTTAAGCCAGATATTTCTTTTCTAGATCTACTGAAATTCATTTTCAGAATAAAAAATTCCAAAGATGGCACCTTATAACTGACGGTGTCAGGAGCTGATAAAACTTTAAATGTCAATATTACTTACCCATCCCATTTTGTGAGCTCCAAAGAAGATGGGAGTCCATGCCCAATTTAATGCCAGCTGCCCTGCATACAGCCCAAGTGGAACCACTGAATCTTCATTGAAACCTCCCAACTCTTTCCATACCAGGTAAGAACCATATCTGAATAAAATGAATGTGACAATGCATGTATTCTGGCAAATTATACAATACCTAATTATAAATAAAAGACTTTCATAGGCAAGTAAATTTTTCAAAGACCTCTGAAACTTAGGATTCTTCATCTTCAAAAGTCAGTCAGGAGCCTAAGTGTATTGACTTGCAAGAGACATGGGCTTGTCTAAGTGATTTTTGAAAATATTTTGAAAGCGTGAACTAGAGGTAACAGCAATGGATGTGGGTTAAAATCCAAAACCGAAGAACTGATTTACCGTGGGACCTTCAGTAAGTGCTTTCACACCTCTGTGCAATTCAGACAAAATCAGAGAATATGTGGTATTGAACAATCCAATAAACGAAGCAAGTGAAAACAGCCACAGCATTTTTTTTTCAATTTCTGGGGCTACGGAAGAAGATGAACTGCATTTAGGACAAATATAAATTTGAGTTGAGACCTGAAGACTACAAAGGAAGAAACTGCATTGGTCTTGAACTGAGAGCATCAGTAAGAGTTTCAGTAACAAACTGTTCATTGTGTGGCGAACATAGATTGTTATTTCCAAAGTTACATTGGCAAATGTTCAAAAGTAGGAGATAATCTGGTGGTTAAGTTGAATGAGCAGGTTCCTAATTAGAGAATGAAGTGTTAGATTTAAAAGTCACTTCACCTCCCTCTAATGAAATGTTGGTAATTATTATGGTATTGCTTTTTTTTAAAATGAGTTAATGGAAGTTAAGGCCAACAGGAAAAAAATTTAGGCGAGAACAGGCGTTAAAATAGATTTGGGTAGCATCTGCATCGAAATGATATTTTCATAACCACATGTGATTTTGGAAAGGAGGTATCAGAGTGAAGAGAACTAAAAGTGAAGAGCTTTTTTCCTGACAGTGAAATCCTCTTGATACTGATTACTACAAGCTCTCTTGGAATACAATTTTTCAGTTGAAAGCACACTAGAATTCTTATTGCAATCAATGCCCTTTGCACCATTCGATGGCATTAATTCTGGAATATATGCAGTGAACTAAAAAGTTAAGACAGGATCACTGAGGGGCAGTATATGTGAAGCTAAAGTTTGCTTGCTGAAAGCCTCCCACAGCCTAGTTAGCTGGAGCATTCAACACATAACCCTGCTCCTCTAACTTTTTTACTTTTTGCTTTGGAGTTCAACTTTAAATATTAGTGAATGTTTGATTTTAGGGTCAGCCAAGTATATATTCCAAAAGACAGTCTGCTCCTGTTAGTAATTTGCCACCTGTGTCAATGTAGCATTATGTGGAGATGAAATCTACATTTATAGATAAGAATGCAGATTGAATTGTGCACCTAGCTAGGCTCTGGAGCTCTGCATTGCAAGCTTTGCTCCATGAATACTCCTGACTTCTTAAAAATTCACCCGCACATTTTAAAGCAAGAGATTTTTAGTTGTTTAGCTGCAGGCAGACATTTTAGTCCTCCACATGTTTTTACCAGAATTCAGCTTCACTCAAATGTAGGACGGCAGAGGGTATGGCTAGATGGCTAGACTGCAGGTTTATCCCGAAAAAACTCTGCCACATCCAGGGAACGTGTTTTGCTCTTCCACTTTTTTTTGTGGAAGAGCAAACATACTCTTTCAGAAGCCCCTATATTCCTCGTTCTAAAAGGAAGAAGGGGGCTTCTGAAAGAGTTTTTTTTCTGACATTTGGCCCAGTCTAGACAGGCCCGATGTCAGAAAAGCCTCTTCTGACAAAAGAATTGGAAATGGTATGCAAAACGCGGAGTGCATTTTGCGTACCTTTTTCTGACAAAAACTTGTCTAGCTGTACCCTGAGTTAATTTTTTTTTATTTTGAAGTAAATAATCCAAGTTTACATGCTGGCTGTTCCTTTCTTAAGGGTACAATTTGATATCCTGTCAATCTGATCACTATCCTGTCAAACAAATGTTTTTTAAAAAAGTTTCATGTTTTTCCATCACTAGGAGATACCTAAACACAGTTCTGCTTCCAGATGATTTGTGAACTACTGTTAACAAGCAATTGCACTCAGATACGACTTTTGGCTTCTGCTCTTGATCCTTACTTAGATTTTTCTGGCAAATTTACAAAGCTTATTTCAGGTCCAGCCCCTTCATTACACAATTCTTCAGGAGCACTAGTGTTCTGCTATGTGATATTAGTATTGCATAACAGAATCACCAGAATTTCGCATGTGTCAAATGCAAATAGAGGAACTGAATTTGGTGCACATTCTGAGGAATCTCTACAGGGTTAAGTATACACAGAACACAATTTTCTGGTTTTGAGTATGATTTAGGTTCTAGGAAGAAACATTTAACTGCCTGTAGGATTAGGCTCATCAGTGTGACTGTTCACCAAGAACAGGTATGATTTAGGATGTTAACCACGTCTAAGTATCTCAGAATGTACTATTCTCATGAGGACATACAGGAGCACTTCAAAGTGCGGATCTTTAAACAAAAACTGGCACCTTGCTCTCTTGGTTTATAGTCAGAAACGCAGATACCATTATTTGCATACTGTATAGTTCATTCAAAGGCATAGTTCACAGATAGTCTTTCTATAGAAAGATTGTCAGATGGCCTCCTGGCAGAACATGCCCTAAGAGTTATGTAACCAAAAGGACTATCTGGTCTCATTTCAGTGGTCTATTATCTTACTTTTCAAAAAAAAAAGCTGCTTCCTGTCTAATCTGACATCACTGTGATTTTGCTGCTAACTAAAAGAGAACTTATTGAATATATGGGAGGGAACAAAATAACAAATACTTTGTGTGCATGAGGAGGGGGAAAATAACATTTTTAATTTGAAGAAAATCCCTTTGGATATATGTGAGTTATGGAGAAGCTGGGCATTGTAGCATGTTTTTGGGGAGAGAAACATCTCCGCTTAAAAGAAAAATTACTTTGGGATCCACAATAATGCAACTATGGTTGAACACAAATGCACTAAACAAGGTATACGGGGTAGTCCTCCATAAAGAGGATGATTTAGCCTGAAAGTGAAACAAACTAGAAGGACTGAATGTCACTTTGGAGATTGGGCATTTGCTACGGTTCTACCCTGGCCTCCTCCTGGTGACATCTGTTAATGGGACTGGGAGAAAAGCAGTCTCTTGGCTGGGCTATTGCTGGGGTAATGTGTGTGTGAGTTCATAACTGTCCAAAACAGTCCAGAAAAAAAATCTACTTGATAAATATTTTAGCTATTCTTAGATGAGGTATTGTGATTACAATATATTTTTGTATTACTCTTCAGCTTTTCTTTTAAAAAGGTCTGATATTTGGTCCAATACACAAATGTATGCCTTTCAACACTGCCCATTTCTTTTGACAGTAAGAGCCTATGCTGGCATCAACACTTTAGACTAATTGTTAGAGAGTAGCAGATTATACCAGACCATGTGACACAGTTCAAAAGCAAGGATTTTTTCTGGGTTTTTATAATATAAGGGTTGTGGCTTCCAGTTAAATTTAACTTACTCTCTACTTAGAGCTGTACAAACCTCAATAAGTAACCCTTTGTGTACTTCTACAGTTAATTTTAGGCTAGAACTGTAAGAGGACATAGGGGGTAACATTAAAACTGTTCTGTGAGTGCTTGCATGTGCTTCATGCACGGCTGTTGGAAGATTCTTCCTTGGCAACTACCCATTGGGTTGGCTATGGAGCCCCTTGGAGGGGCATTCTATATATGATCATGCTGATACCCCCCCCCCCCCCCCCCCCCACTCCCGCTGTTCCCTCTTCCTGCTAGTGATGGTTGTTGGAACAGTCGCTCTCTTGCATCACACATGTTCTACATTTTCCCTAGTGTTCTCTAGTTCATTCATCTTGTTCCTAGTAGTTATTAGTAGCTTCTAGTTAGTCTGTTTGTTCATAAAGCATGCGAGGGGGTTTCCTCTTCCTGGCCACGTCCCCGCTAGGACTTAGGGCATTCCCAGATTTCAGGGGTTCAGCCCTGCAGTTCCTGGGTGAAGGCTGTGCCTATGCATGCCTCCCCCACCCCCATGACTTGTGTCTTTGATGTCTGGGAGAAATGTAGGATCAGCAAAGCTTTTAAACCTTGCACAAGCAGCTCCTAATGGAGTCTGCCCTTTGGCCCTAGCGGAGGCAGGACCCAACATTGAGTCCTCCCCTTAGGGCTCTCCACAGCACCCTGCATCTTTACCAAATGCATGGTGGGGGCTGCAGCCTTCCTCTGACTTCTTGGCCATATCACAGATGATTCTGTCCCTCTCCAAGTTCCCCGTCGCCATGGCTGGACAATGCTTCAAACTTCTAGGCCAACTGCTGGCCTGCACATAGATCATCTTATTGGCCAGACTCAGATCCAAACCACTGCAAGCCTGGTTAGCGTTGGTGCACTGCGACAGCATAGACCTGGTAG